TCCTCCCACGCGGACCCGCGGCAAGAAATATGACGCCCAGGTAGGCGCGGAAATATGAGAAATAACGCGGCGTCTTGGAATGAAGGGAAGCGTTCGGGACGGCTACTTTTTTTTCCGTCTCGCCCGCCTCATCAGCTGTCGTTATTTCTCATACTTTGAATGCGCATCGCGGCCTTGCTCTGCCCGCGGGGGGAGGAAATAGGATGCTTCACACCGCGGCGCACCGCGCGCCCGGGAACAGCCATTCATTTCCTTCGGTCTACAGTATGCATGCCCCCCAGTGGGGGCCCCCACCCCCGGCTGCATAGCTGCAGATCTGCTCCAGGTGATAGTGCCCTTGTCGTGCGCTCGGCCTGCCTCGCCCCGTGGTCGCCGTGCCGCAGGAGGGCAGGAGCGGCCCGGAAAGAATGTCGACAAATTTCTATGCGACACTCTGGAAACCGAGGGGTTTTTAACTCGGAATTTTCGTGTTCAGTATGTATTACATATTACGTGCCAATACGCGGTGTTACGCCAGTGTTACACAGGTTTTGCAACCAAAATTCTACCATTGTGGGGCTTTTTTGGTATTACAGTACGCGTTATACACTCTAAAGTTTTTACTGAAATGTTTGCCTTGTACCTCATTAAGTTTTGTGTTGTAACTTGTCAAGAAATTCTTGAGTATTGCTAAATTCCTTTCTAGTATTAATAAGCGATTTGCAAGTACCGTAATTTTAACACTAGAAAAAAGTTTAGTAATACTAAGTAAAGCTTGGAAACCTAAGTTTTGGTGTGCAATTCGAATCAAATTTTTAATTTATTAGTAGGCGGTGGCTGCCCAAAAAACCTCAAATCCCAAACGTTTCGCTGCACTTGATTCCGTTTTGGAGGCTGGTCCTGGTGTGCGGGCTGTGGCGCGGGCCGGGGGGCCGTGTTACGTCTGCGGTACAGTGCGGCACTCGCGCGCGCTCACGCCGGCTAGTCCCGACGGTGAAAGGGAGGAGAGAGGGGCGGGGGAAAGAAG